CCTTCCTGATGACATGTTCTAGAGCAAAATTAAAAAGCATTGGGGATAAAGCATTCCCCTGTCTTAGGCCATTATGCACTGGGAACAGAATTCTAGTAGATACCTCATCCATACACATCTTAATCAACCCTACAATTTTCTTTGTTAATCTAAACTCAATTAAAATGCCACAAAGTACCTCTCTTCTAACTGCGTCATAAGAATTCTGGTAGTCCACAAATAGTTGGTGTACTGATCCGTTATATTCCCACTTTTTCTCTAATATTTGTCAGATGCAAACTATCTGATTAATAGTAGACATATGGCAGATTCCACATTGATCACCCCGAATAGCTTTATTCATAAATGGCGTAAACCGTGCCAGAAGAATATTCAATAAAAATTTTATAAGACATTGGCAAAAGCGAGATACCTCGGAAGTTGCTGCACTCAGTTTTGTCACCTGTTTTACGGATAGAGACAACAATTGGTTCTTTCCACTGTTATGGTAGTATTTCCTGGTTCAAAATCGAGACTATAAGCTTACATATCTCTGAGTGCAGTGTCCTACGACCTGCATAGATTATTTCTGTTGGAGATTTATAACGTTTTAATTTCCCAATGGCAATTTCATCTTCTTAAGGCTCAGTTCCAGGATGAAGGGCTCTGCTGTATGTACTTCAGGCTCTTTAAATTGATCAACTATTTGAACGTCTAGTAATTTACTAAAGTAATCTTTCCTTCTGTTGAACCAATTGCTAATCTTAATTCTAAATGAGATTGTTAAAGTACAGTGTGTGTCAAATGTCAGGATAGTACAGGACAGGGAAGACCTAAAAAGTGAAGAAAAGAACACATGCATAGCATTGTGTTATTCACATTTTGCTTCACATAGTAAAAACAACAACACATAACATCCCAAAATTCAGCCCTTTTGCTTGGTGCCATGGGCAGCCATTCAACTCATTAACCCCTAAAACATGGGAAATTCAAGAAATATTTATATTATTTTGTTTGAAAGCTGCAAGGGAAGATACCAGTTGGAAGATTTCGGCATAAGTAAGAGGGTAATATTAAAACATATCTTAATGAAACAGTTTGGACGGCGTGTATTCGAATATTCCGGTTGAGGATAGGGATTGGTGGCAGGTTCCTGTGAGCACAGTACTGAACCTTGGATTCCACAGAATGCTAAGAATATCTTTACTAGCTGGGTAACCATCAGATTCTCAAAAAGAACTCTGCTACTAGGAGTTAGTAAATTAATTCATTAGTAAGTAAGTAAAGGAATTATAATTTTGTATTTGTTATTATCAATCAAAATGTTTTCAATTGTCACATGATGTGAGTGAAGACAGTTGTCACTGCTTGCGCACACAACACGCTACCATGGCATTCAGAAGCAAATACCATCATTTTAGACAAAGTAGATGACAGTGTTTTGTGGGTACACTTGAGAATTGATATATTCAGAATGTATGAAGTATGTCATGTTGATCTAGATCAGTCGTTATAAATTGTAAGCAGGTTATTGATAATAAACTCTCTAACTTTGGTATGTCAGCACGCAAACAATAACATGCTTTATACTTAAAACTTTGCATACTGTGTAGTGTATTAGAATCTAAAATAAGTAAACAAACAACTATTAACAGTATAAAAAAGACACTAGTGCTATAAGCGTTTCAACCTCAAGAGGTCATCATTAGTGTTAATAGTTGTTTGTTTACTTATTTTATATGCTTTATACTCTCCTAAACATTATTAATTATTTGTTAATGTTTATAATACAAGTTTGAATATATGGTTCACATATTTTGGCCATTTTCAGGTAACTAGAGCCCATACTGGAAGTACTGAAATTAACTTATGCGTTATAAGAGGTCCTCAGTGTTAAAATAAGACCACCAGTATGGACAGCATGTTAAATTTGTTAAAATTGAGGTATGTAATTAAAAGGTTAAAACATGCAGTGATACATAGTGTTTGAAAATTATGCTCTTTGTATCTGAATAATGCCTCATAAGATATGAAAAAAAATAATGCATGGATTTGCTAATAATATGCTGGGCATTCAGCGGTAACAGTATTTATAAATTGTGTTTGGTTTGAGTTACCATGTACTGTTGTGGGTGCATTATGGAAAATTACATCTGTACAACCCAGAAGCCCACAGTCCATATTTTCACTGCCATGAGAACCTCAAATCTCATAAAATATAAAATGATACCTTATCATAATTTTGCAGTGTTTCAGAAAAGAAATAGGGGTTGAAACAGTTTTACATATCTGTGCGTTAACATACAGAATTCAAATAAGCAAACAAAGAAACTCTTAACGCTATAAATAGCACTAGTGTCATTTATAGTGTTAACAGTTTGTTTGTTTGCTTATTTTATATTCTAATATACTACACGGTATGCAAAGTTTTAAGATACAGAATTCAATGTTTCATTGTATCACTGAATGGAGAACAATTTTCTTAGGTTACATATCTCTGTTTTCACTTAATCCTAAGAAAGAAAATTTTTTGATGTGTTTATCCCATTTTTGGGGAAACTTTCTTTTCTCATAACACCATACAATTACGTTGTAGATATTTTGAAATTTATTATTTTAATTGGCTGTGTGCTTTTCTTTCAAGCATATAATAGGCAGTTTTAGAATATTAAAATATTAAATTTGTTTTCAGCTTGAGATATCAGTGAGATACAGATTCTGATCATCTTTCTGTTTCACTGTGTTTGAAGTAGATATTTTTGTAATTGCTGATGTTCACGTGGTATTATAGTTGTTTAGAACTTTGTTGCTGAATGTTCTAGGTATTTTAATTTGTACACAATCATTGAAATATGTGAGACACATAATTGTGTTCAGTGTCTGAAAACAACAGCCTTAAGAACTCTCTGTAACCATCTTAAGTTATCCATTACTGTAACCACAGTTTCTTTCTCTATTCACATTGCCCTTTCATCTTTTATTCAGACAGACAATGCCTCTTGTTCATTCAGAAATTGTGTCTCGCTGAGCTGAGTTTGATACAACTTACATTTGACTCTCACTTCTCCATTTTCTTGATGTTATTTTTGGATGTAGGTTCTTGTATAGTGTCTAGTTCCAGATACACGAGTTCAGGTTGAGTGTACCGAACTGAATGTGTGTGTGGAATCTATAAATTTGTTTCTCAGTCTTTTGGGTTTTCTGGCATGTTAGAAAGATGAAAGTGTCACAGCATTTCACACGATGAACTGTGCCTTTCAAAGTCGATCCTGCAGGCACTCTGAAATATTAGTCTGCTTTTTGTCATATGAACGTGACTCGGTACGCAAAAGACTACATGAAGTGAGAACCATGGCAAATATGTCTAGCATTACATAAAGGCAAAACAATCCCATTTCTGTTCCTAATTATAATGCAGGGAAGGTGTTTGGGATAATCGATGAAATATTAACTGAATGTTAACAGCATTATCCTTCGAGGAAAGCTGCTTCACTCAGCGATGAACTCCCTGCACAACTTTGACCGGTCGTTAGACAAGTTCCTTGCATGGCTGTCTGAAGCTGAATCTTCGATGGAGTGTGTGGAAGCGGAGACTGATCGACTTGGAGGACGGAGAGACCCTGGTCTCCTGCGACAGCCCCTTCATCAGCTCAAGGTAAGAAACAACATATGTTTAAACTATTTTGGGTTGAGTGGGACTTATTACATGTTAAATTTCAAGTATTGCGCTGATTACTATGTTGTAAGGTGAAATGAAGAGTCATCAGGTTTTGTGTTTTTTAAGTTAACGTGAATTATTCTGTTCCTCTTCTCAGCAGTGAATTGTATGTTGCCTTTAACACTGAAGAAAGGTGTTTTTGTTTTTCTTATTGAGTGCAACACTCGTAAAACAATACATTGCATGAACAAGAAGTTCTTAGTACCAGATGCTTCTACAATATACAGCGAAACCTTTATCACAGGGGTATAGGGGATTCATGCCCCTGAACCCAGTGGCTGCCAGCTGGACTTTTAACTGTGGAGTTTAACATTTGTGTTACTGCAAGATACAACTTGTTAGATTGCTTGTAAGCATTGATGCAGTCAGTAAAGTTTAAAAGAAAATCCGGGCAGGTTATAATCTAACATTTATGTATATGGCATTTTGTTCTCGCTGAAGTAAAACTTTAGTTTCTTCTTGGGATTTAATATTAGACATTAGACAATAATTATAACATTTAAGTTGCAAGAAAATTTGAACTTTCTCTGAAGCTCTTTATTGCTTCCTTCCATCATGAAATTACATGAGAGTGATATTTTATAAATTTTGATATTGGGAACTTTATTAAAATTTGTCGGTAAGTTAAGATCTGACAGCGGTAGCAGGCTCTTTCCATGAAGATCTATATGTTGGCGCACATTGTAGTTACTGGGTTAGGAATCCTCAGGCTACTTTGGTTACCATGGTTACTATTTTTATTTTGGGGAAAAGAGAAAGGTGACATTCTAGCATATATGTTAGAATTGTTACACTGTGTGTATATTTCTTAACTTGCATTAAATGTTATTGAATAATTGATAGATGCATACATTATAAAATGGATTCCATAACCGAGGTAAAGATCTACAGAAAATTAAGTATGATATAACGAAGTGTTCAGGGGAAACATGAGAATATTTGTAATCAAGGAGGTCAGGTCTAAGAATGTGTTGGGTATTTACAGTTCCCATATTTCAGTTTGCCATGGCACCTAGAAGTTTCGTCATGGTACCTAAAACTTTTTTTTAGTAATTGTGTTTAGTTTATATATGCTTCTCTGCCCTCTTGAGAATCCCAGCTCAAAATATACCACAAAACTGTGCAAAGAAGGAAGTTGATGACCTGATGCAGCAGTCACGTTAACTGCATCAACACAATTCTCTTATGTGTGTTATTCAGAACGTCATTTAGTGTCATAGTGGTATATGTACAGAGTATCCCAAGAAATGTCTGCCAAACATTTTGTGGTTATTCATTGGCTTATTTTGAATGAAAAATGTTCTATCAAGATAGGTCAGGATCTCGGCTGTTATGTTGTTATCTCATAAATCTTTTCCCATTATTCTCCCATCTTCGTTCCCTGCATTCTTTTAGAGGACTTGTACATGTGGCGCTATCTTGTTAATGTTGAAGTAATTTGGCTTTTTTTAAAGGGACATATATAAAAAGTAACATGACTGTGTTCTATTTCATTTCTGTCTACGGTCCACCCAGCACCTGCTATAGAAATTGTTGGACTGATCGTGGTGGTCCGCAATCTTGGCAGTACTGTTTGCCATAAATTGCAGATGGAAGGTTATTTTATCGTTAATGAGGCTACTCTCATACAAAAGAATCGTGAAAACATGCAGAAAGTTACGAACACTGTTCTAAAACAATCTTATTCGTGCATAGCCAATGCAGGAGGTCATTTAGAACAGGAAGTAGCTAAAGATGTATGTTATGTCACAGCACACATCAAACACAAGTAGAATACAGTTCCCATGTACATTATTAATTTATTCAGTTCAATCTGCATTTTTTTGCAAGTTTTCTTTCTTTTAATCCATCATAAATACGCACTGATTGAGATTTTGAATCATGTTGATGCAACATTCTTCACTCACAATAAGCCAATCAGTAGCCACCTGAAGTTTGGTAGTCGTTTCGATAAAAATTATTCCATTCAGTATGGATTCATAAAATTACTCGTATTTGAACGAAGTTAAGTCTGCACGATGTGGTACTTATTAAGCAGAGGGGAGCTATGTCAGTTCCTGTAAATAAATGTGCAATCAACTCTGTACTGAACTTCCCCAAGATTTTTTTTAGTAATGGAACCTTTGATAATACATCGCTGTTTAAGGAATGCTGTTGTGAGCAAGTGTCTGAAATGTAGTTTAGATGGCAGCACAGACTTATCGGAGAATTTCAGTTTGGGAAATCCGCGGTAGATGGTGCACCACGTTTATTTGATGTAACGTGAGCGTCCGGCCCCTTCTTCCTTGCTATGCATCTGAGTGATTAAAGTCTTGACTGACCAGATTCAGTTCTTGTGTGCGCGCGCGGCCCACTTTGAAATACGAAGATGTAATCGGCAGAGCATGTATCACACACACGGGAAAACAGAAACGATAAAAAATGTTGGTTGGGAAGTCAGAAAGAATGAGACTGCAAGGTAGACCATGACGTAACTGGCATTACAATTTTAATATGCATCGTAAAGAAGGCGAATTGCTGTAAGGGTGGGGGGATTCTGTGTTTATCTGGCTCGGGATATGGACCGCTGGCGGGATATTTTGAACGCGGTAGAATAAATATTTTGTTTCCATAAAGAGCGTAAAATGTCTTGAGTATTTGCTTCTCATGAAGGACTCCACAGAGCCCCACCATTTTCATAAATATAAAAGAATACTTCACGTTACAGTAATGACGAGTATTATGCTTTTATAAGTCAGGTTATAATATGGACTGGAATTGAGGCTCATCGTAACACCAAGACTGCATATATATAAATAAATTTTAATGTTTTAAATTCCTCTTCTCCTCAGGTTTTCAGTAACTGTGATTATTGTGCGTTCTTTGCACGATGTGCGTAAAATGAAGACAAAGAGATGCGATCGTGTCTGTCAGCCTGACTGGCCTTGAAGCACTGAGCGTTTGTAGATGGTGTTATGCCATTGGGGCGACTCCAAACTCACGCTTAATATTCTGCAGTTGGTTGTAAGAACATGGCGGACGCGAGAACCTTTGACTAGCGCCGGTGAATATAGGGACATGAAAAAGTTTGTGGGATAAATTAAGAATGTGCCTCTTTTAAGGTAATTATGTAGGACGCAAAAAAATATGCAGATTTTAAGGTAATTCCTTGTGGAATGTAAAGAAACTACATGGTGACTGTGTGAAAACGTCTCGGCTTTCAGTTTGACTGGGATAACTATGTAATGTACGTGACGGTGGAACGGAACATAGTAAAAAAATGAGGAAACGTGGTTGTAGATGGTATGAAAACAACGCGATTCTATTACGGTGACACACACACACACACACGGTACATAATCCGATATTCTACCCGGTTTGTTGTAACTTCTGTGGATAGTCTTGCTACCGAGATCAAGAACGGATACGTGATGAACTGCATTTACATTCCGCCATCGCCAGATCAGAAACAGTTGTCTGGAAACTGATCGATCGCAGTGCATTACCTCAAGCTTGGCACAAGGAACAACACAACCCGTTGAAACCATAAAAACTGTTCGATCATTCTTGTACCTAGGCTTGTATCTAGGGCGATACACGGTTCCTTGCAGAGATCTTTCCTGATGTTTGTACCCCCCCCCCCCCCCTCCATTATCATTGCGATATCAGGATGGTACTTTGTAGAAGACTCAAAATCACCTTGTTCCAATTTCTTACCCACTCTCCAACGAACCTCGCGGAAGAAAGGTTGTCTCAAGATCGGGAGGTTCTTGTTTCGAATTTGGGCATGGTGACCGGCAGTTGTGGGTCAGGACACCCCTGGTTTACATGAATCCATCTAAGCTGTGGCCCAAAGTATTTTCAAATAGGCCACACGCACTTCATTTCACATCCTTTCTAGTCGAAAATTCACAAGGCGTTCTGCCATTTGACGCTACACAAGTTTTGCAGTTGAAAGAGCTGAACCTCGCGCTTTTAAATAGAGGTTATGTATTTTCGGGATAACTGAGCTCTATTGCCATCATATATGTTCTTTGTTTATTTTAGGACTTTTCTCTGTTTACCATGGCCCTTTACTTATGACTGCCTCCGAATTCTACCACCCAACCTGTAAATGGAACGCGATAAGTTTGCCAGTAATATTTGTTTCTTCAACACCGTTGTGTTTTACTAAGCAGCTACTGTCAGAAGCGTTAAGGGCATTTGTCCTGTTTGTGTATTTTGATATGCCGGTACCAACCCGCTCGCCTGTTAAGGTAAAACATTCTTTTTTTCGGAAACTAAAGAAATGACGTACACCTCCATAGTCCGACATGTAATTTAATACTCGGCGCTGACATTTCGTATCCCTTGGATCCCCATTATATTCGATTGCAGAAAAGTGGTTTGTCTTGTGCTTCGTTGTGTTCTTTAAATGTACTGGTAGGTCTACGGCCTGTTCCAACATTAACGTTCTCAGGTTGTGGTGTAAGGAACGTCCTACAGGTCGGGAGTTTGCTGCCGAAGTGGGGTTGTTGTGCAGGTTTGTACCTGGGTTAGTGGTATATAACCACTCATCTGTAAGTACGTGGTAGAAAAGCTACGACAGGAATAGGATTTGGACAAATTCTTTGGCTGGATCTGAGGCAAGGGACTGGGACCTCTGGCGGAATGTTGTGAATTGGGTAATGGACTTTCGGTTCCAATGAATTTATTGAACTGGTGAGCCACGATTAGTTTCTCAAGAAGACTTTTACGTAATGCAATTAGACGACCAATAGGACTTTGTTAGATAAAGTACGATTGTACTCTGATTTCTCCTTATTCCATATCGGATCCTGATTCGTTTTCTGATCGTCTAGACTAAACTGTAAATATAACACAGAATTTTTACACCGATTCATCGAAATTACTCCGCAAAGCATTTTACAGATTTTATCCACTTCTGTGTGCCGGACATTCGTCCATGTCTCATAAAA